CGTGCAAATGATGTCGACTCGGGCGCGCGTACTGGTGAGAACAAGGAGGACGGGGACAGGAGAATGGGGGATGAGGCGGAGGATAGGGGGGCGGGGGGGGGGGAGGGGGGGGGGCGAATCATCGAGGATGACGAGGTGAAGCGGACCAGGAACAAGAGGAGGGGGACGAGGAGGAGGGGGGCGAGAAGAGGGTGGAGGAGGACGAGGAGGGGGGGACATTGAGATGAGGCTCGCTATGTGTACAGCGATTTCGCGGCACGCCTTTCGGGGACCTCTGGAAAACAGTTTTGAAGCCACCGGGGGGCCGAGGTGGACAAGGGCGGTGAGGAGGAAGAGGAGGGGGACGCGGAGGAAATGAAGGATGGGGGGAAAAAATCGACGAGGATGAGGATGAGGCGAGGGAGGAAGAGGAAAAATGGGCGAGGAGGATATGGAGGAGGAGGAGGAGGGGGAGGGGGAACAGGAGGTGGACACCCTGAAGTGCGGCTTGTGCGGTGATCGCTTGTGAAGTGCGGCTTGGAGGCAGTTTCAAAGCGTTTGGGGGGCAGTTTTGGGGCCGTTTGGGGGCCTCTTGGGGGTTTCTTGGGGCCTCTTGGTAGCGTCTTGGGGGCTTCTTGGGGCCTCTTGGGGCCTTCTGGGGCCGTCTTGGGGCGGAAGGCTCGGATTGTCGGTTCAATCTCCCCCTCTTGGGCCCCTCTTGGAGCTGTCTGTGGGCCTTTTTGGGCCGTCTGTGGGGCCTCTTGGGCTGTCTTGGCGCCCTCTTGGGCCGAGTTGGGCGCCTCGTGGGGGTCTCTTGGGCCGTCTTGGGGCGGTCTTGGGGTGCTCGTGGACCGTCTTCAACGCCGTGAGGGCGGACAAGTCGCATATGATCAAAATGTTCGTTTTCCCATTGGAATTTGACGATTTTCGGTTCTTCGGCCCTTCTGAGGACTGCTCTTGGAGGCCTCTTGGGCCGTCTTGGAGGCCTCTTGGCCTGTCTTGGGGCCATCTTGGGCGTCTTGGAGCGCTCGTTTGGCGTCTCGGGGCCCTCGTGGGCACTCTCGGAGGCCTCTTGGGCCCTTCTTGATTCGCCTTGAGCCCATTTTGGGTCCAAAACAGCCCCGTGAGTCGCTCGTCCGGGGCCCGGGGGGGGGGTCGAATCTCCGGTTTGGGGTCCCTGGGGGGGGGGTTAGGGGGGGGAAACTCTCTCACACGCCTAGAGACCTCTGAGCAGCCCCGAACACTTCATGACCTGACAAACTCTTCACAACGCCCTCACTGCACGGCCCAAGATTTTCCATCCAAACACTCCTGGGACGTTGCATGAATCCAGGACCCTCCGAAAACAGCTGTGCCCTGGCTTCGTGCACGTTTTACCCCCGAGGTCGCTGAAGCACTTGGACTTGATGAAGGGCCAAAGCACCGGCACGGACGTAGAACCACCGGGCCGAGGGGGTCGTCGCAGAAAAACAGGTTGGCCAAGCTCCATCTTCGCGTAACCGATCGCGCGCACGTCCTCCGAATCTAGCTCGTGGCATACGTGCCAACCTGGATCGTCCAAGAGGCCGCTGAGCATGGACAAGAGCAGTTCACGGGGATCTGCACTCCAGACCTTCGTGCGATCTTTGTCGTCCTGGATGCGGCAGTCGTACTCGGACTCCACGTGTTGAAAAAAACGCTCATAAATATTCCAAGTATCAGGACACGCCGGCCATGCAATCTGCGCCAATCCCGAAGACAACTTTGATGAAACGACTTCGCAGGCTCGAAGAGGCAATCTGCGCATGCTTGCCCATTTCCTGCACATGCCAACTGTATCTCGAATGATGTGCTGCGCGTCTGGCCACCTGGCCAGACTCCACGGGCCACGATGAGCCCTCAGGGAATCAAGAGACACGGCGCGCCCAAGCTCCGTAATGTCCATGCCGCTAAATATATTGCACTCCAAACGTCGGAACCACCATTTCGCATTGACAGTGTCGCACCACTTGCGCCTCTTCCCGGAAACGTAGGTCGTTCGCCGGAGAAGCCACTGCCGAGCAGGTTCACAACGTATCTGCCGGATGCCACTTTGTATGCAGCGCCGTAGTTCGTGAAGATGTCGCTTGAATCCCGGGTCCAACACAATGGGCTTGATCACGAGTAGGGGAAGACCAGCACGACGCAAGACCCGATCTAAAGCCATACGCGCACGTCGACTCTGAACACCAGCCTTCATACAGTAAGGAATAAGCTCAGCTCCCGAATATATATATATATTTGCGCAGCTACCTGCCACAAGCGCCATGGCTCAGGAAACCAAATCCCCACTGTGGTACTAGCTCCAAATGCCAAGAACAATTGTATGTACTGGAGCCCGAAAAGAGGCACTGGTCCGTGCTGCCCCGCATACAGAAGAAGTTGTCGCCGCTGGTACGTGCGGTAAAGCGCTGCGTATCGTTGCTGAGGAACGGGTAAACCAAACTGATCACGAACACTGGGATGACCCTCTTGATGTTGAAGACGCGCTCCTGCTGAACAATAAAACTCAAACTGTTGCCAACACACACTTAGACGTCACAATCTTCCCTGGAATCCCAGCGCAGCGAACGTGAGGAGGGGGACGACGTCGGATACCTTTATCTGGTCGTAGACGCTGAGGCTGACACCCTCGAAGACCAGGACGCCCTGGACGTTCACGCAACTGGTTGCACGACGGCTGGCCAACAGCAATAAGAGTAGCTTCTATCGCCAAAGCCTGGGCCTCCGAGCTGTATGCGATGATGGGGAAGAAAGAGACCGGGCCACGACTAGAACGAAACAGCCGATACTTTGCAGACATGCCAAGCTTACTCCGTGGGAAATAAATGCCCTCGACATGTTCGACGAGTCGCCGGGGAACCCCTGGAACGTGTCCTGCCCGCAACTCGTTAGCCTTGCCAACGTACGCGCCACTATGAGAGTACAGTACATACAAGACTGTGTGAGAACCTGGAAAGATAATTGACGTTAACAGCCGGTCCCAAACCGATTGCACTCCAAAACGTACAAGGTCATGCAACTGAGAGGGTAGAAGACGCCACACTTTGTTGAACCACCTTGGCAAAGAACGTTGCCGGAGAGCAGACCGCAACCGACTGATGCTGATGCCCAGATGTGCAATAGCCAATGCCGTGATATTGGCAGTCTTCTGAGAGAAGCCGCGACCTCCTCTAGTGACCAGGCCCTGCATGAGGAGGTACACGACATACGAAAGCGTAGGGGTGTCCTGCATCAAAGCGCGGCCCTGCACCCATTGTGCAAATCCCACATAAGAATCTGCGACTGGATTGCGAATGAAATCTGCCCACGCGCCTGTTGATGTCTGGACATGTTCTGGATAATGTTGGGGTCCCAGAAGTTCGAGTTGGAAGCCTGATACCGACATGAAAGAAATGTAGGGGGTGATACGTAGATGCTCTCGTAGGCGAACCCGGCTGTAACTACGATGAGGAGTAATATGTCGGCGCACTCAGCACACGATAAAGCTCGGGCGAGAGCAGTGACACCACATCATCTCTGCAGTGCAAGGCCGGGACACGTGGTAAGCACCTTCTGCTGCGCGCTTGCCCGCACTGCCCTCGCACTCGGGCCTAGATGGATACGTACGCGCCACCGTGCACACGGTCAGGGAGGGACTATTGCGGGGGGGGGGTTGGGAAGGTTACGGGGGGCAGGGTTGGGGAAGTCACAGTAAGGGAGGGAGGACTGCTGTCACGGTTTCCGCCGGCGTCGTGCCGGAAACATTCTTGCAAACTCAGCTGAGAGAGGGCGCGCCGTGCTTTCAGACGGAAGAGAGGAGGGACGGAGGAGGAGGAGGAAGAAGAGGAGGACGAGGAGGAGGAGGAGGAGGAGGAGGAGGAGGGAGGAGGAGGAGGAGGAGGAGGAGGAGGAGGAGGTGGGAGGAGGGGTTGGAGGAGGCGGTGGAGACGGTGAGCCTCGCTAGGGCCCAGTGTGGAGACGAGGGCATGCCACTGCCTCAAAGTGAGAGGCTGGCAGAGATCCATCGGCCAGTGGAGGCGGAATGTGAGGAGGAGGAGGAGGAGGAGGAGGAGGAGGAGGAGGAGGAGGAGGAGGAGGAGGAGGAGGAGGAGGAGGGGGGGAGCAGGTGGAGGAGGAGCAGATGGGGAAGGAGGTAAAGGGTAGAAGGAGGACGAGGGCGAGGAGTGTGAGGAGGACGAAGGCGCTGGCGGCGTAGAGGAACGGGTGGGCGGGAAGGAGCACAGGGAGGGTGGCTATGTCTTATATTGTCGCTGTCGAAGACGCCCGCTGCGAAGGACCGCCGCCCCCCGACCCCTGCGGGCACGCATGGCTTTTGTGTGGCCACGAATCGCTGTTCGCGGCCCTCCAAACGGTGTGGTGACCACACCGTGGGGTGAGCCACTGGGGATTCGGGATCACCACACGGTTTTGGGACTCTGGTCGTTCTTCGAGGTCGTCTCGGGCGACCGGGGCCTCCGTGGTCCTAAGACCGCGCGGTGATGGACTGATCGGTGAGGCCTTCGGGGATTCGGAGGTCACCGCACGGACTGTCACCGCACCGCACCGGCTTGAGACCCCAAGCGAGGTCGGGGTGTTCCTCCCGCTGCCTGCTTCAGTTGTTCCCCTTGTGGACGGATGTCGTATCCATTCCTACGGCCTCGCGTTCCGGATTCTTCGGCCGCGACCCAGAGGATCTAGCGCGGCTCTGCGCGGATGCGCCGCGCGGAATGTATCCACGGGATCGCGTATCCCTGGGATCACGCCTCGGCGTCCAAACCGCGAGGGCGTGGATATAGATATGTTCGTCGCCCGTAACTCCCGCGCTCTCCCTGCTTGTGTTTCCGTCCTGCTATCATTGTTCCCTAGTTGTTGCTCCGTCGCACCCCCGCTGGCTGGTCCATTCGGTCGCACAACCCCTAGCCAGGACCCCCCACTCGACCTGGTGACCCAGGGGGTCCTGGCTGGGGACGCCCTCGTCCTCAGAAACGCTTCTAAATGAGTTGAGCCCCTTCGCAACACAGGAGTTCATGGTGGACGACCTCAAGCACATCGCAACAGAGGTCAAGAAGCGGAGGCCGCCAAGAGAGCTGTTCTTGCTTCCGTCGTCGCTTTGCAATCGTACTTCCACCCTCCCCCCCTTGAACCTGGACCGCCGCACCCCCACATCCTGGGGAAGGATCACAGCGGGAGAAGAAGGAAGAGGAGGATGAGGAGGAGAATGGCGGTTTCGATGGACGTCGTCGGCGATTGGATTCTGGAGGCGCCTGAAGAGCCGTGTAACGGGTGGAAGGCTGTGTGGCAAGGCGCTATGAGTCTCATGCAAAGCTGCGTTCCGGCGTCGGGAGCCATGTTTTGTTCGTCGTCGCTCGTCGCCATTCCTTCGCCCTCCCCCCTCTCTCTTCCCCCCCTCTCCCCCCCGCCTGGCCCCCTGGCCCCCTGGCCCGTGGCCTCGGGCCCTCATGCACTGCCGCTCTCCCGTGCAGGAGCTAGGGCATGCGTGCCACCTGTTTACGAGGCTCTTCTACGAATCGGGGATCAACTAACTGCCGAAGCATGATTTTTCGGAGGCCCGTGCTGATTTTGGGGATCGGTTTTAGGCTCCCTGGCGGCGCGTCTCGGAGCGTTCTCGAGTCCTTTTGGGCCGGTCCTGGGGCCCTCCGAGGATCGTCGTGGGGAATTCTGAGGCCGTCTTGGAGCGATCTTGGAGGCCTCTTGGGCCGTGTTGGACGCTGCGGAGACCGAAACGCTACAGTTCGATCAAGGACATCAGCTGACTATTCTGCATATCAGGGGCCTCTTGGTTCTTGGGAGCTGAATCGGACCGCCGTTAGGGCGTCTTGGGGCCATCTTGGACCGTGCTGGCCGTCTCGTATGCCATCTTGGACCGTCCTGAGGCCATCTCGGGCCAGCCTGGACGCCGGCTATTCTGCGATCCGCTGCCCCTTGTGGCGAACTGGGCCCACGGAGGACACACGCCGCGCGAGGTGCTGGAGGGCCCGTGGGCCACCGTTGCAGGGCGCGACGGGCAGCTGCCATGCACCCCTGTGGGGGGCCCAAACATGTACACCACCACCACCTCCCTCCCCACCTCCCTTTCGCTGGAAGGAGGAGAGAGGAGGAATCGACGTGGTGGTGGTGTATATTCTTTGGGCCCCCACCCTAGGCGAACGCCGCCAGGTGCTCCCAGGAGTACGGCAGGTGCCTGCCGCGTCGACGCGGCGGCGACCCCAGCGTGTTTTTTTTCGAGGTGGAGGCGCCGGCGGCGGCCCGGGATCGGCCGATCTGGAGCGATGCTGCGCGGCTGGAGAGCCGCGACCGTTCGAGATCGAGCGATCCACGCGGTGCCAGAGACCAGCACCGCGCAGAGGGGGGTGGGGGGAGGGGGGAGGGCTTCTTAGGAGCATCCCTGCTTCTTAGAAGGCGCGGGCCTTATCTATAGATGTAAGGCCAGCGCCTTCTAAAGAAGCAGCCTCCTTCTAAGAAGCCCTTCCCCCTCCCTTCACCCCCTTGTGCGCGCCGCCAAAGAGACCAGCACCGAGCAGGGCGAGGGCTCCCGGGGCCCCGGGGCCCTCCCCCGCGGGACGAGCTGCTCGGATATCCCGAGCCGTTCTGCCGGCCGGCCCGGGGCCCGTGCAGGGTCCCGAGGAGCCCCCCCCCAAAACGGCGGACTGCCAAGCCGGGAATGTATCCTCGGGGGCCTCCGGGGGAGCCCCCCGCGGCTGTGCCGAGGCGCCCCGGTGGGCGGGAGGCCTCGGCCGCTGCCCCCGGAGGGGGGCCCATATCCAGCGCCCGCCAGGGCACCAGCACGCCGGTTCCCAGGCGGTGGATGTGTATAGATTCCCGCCTCGCAGGAATAACCCGGTAGGACCCGTTTCCCCGTAGGACCCGTTGCCCTCGGGACCCGACGCCTCCCTGGCGAAGCGCACGGGTCGCGCCACGACGCGAGCCCGCCGACTGGAGCGGGCGTGCTCTGCGTGCTCTGCCCGGCGCGGCGCCTCGCCAGGGCGCCTCGCAGCCCTGCGCCGGGCGGGCTCGTCTCCAGAGATGGGGCGGCGGATAGAAGAGGAGGAGGAGAAGGAGGAGGAGGAGGAGGAGGAGGAGGAGGCACCTCCAGCTTTCGACCTCCTCCTTCGGAAGCTGGAACATTTACGTTACCAGTGGCGGGCTGTTTTTCAATCTCAGGTTTTCTTGAGGGTCGAGGACGACGCTGGGGTGGTGTGGTGTATACTTTTTCCCCCGATCTCCCGGTAAAACAGCGAAACGTGTATACACCAGGACCCCGTATACAACAGGATCCGCTTTCTTGTGAGAGTTTCAGTGCGGGGCCAGAATAAGCGTTGGTGTCTAGGGTTTGGTTCCCTACTCCTGTCGACCTCCAGCCTCGAGGACAAAGGATCTTCAGCCTCAGGGGCAAGACATGTTTGGAAGCTGGCCACACAGAGCGTTGAAGCAGGACCGAGCAGAACTTCCGGCTGGGCCCCTTTTCTGATGCACCAGCGCTCATGCGCCGCACCCGCAGCACCCTAGACGGTGTCCATATGCGGGCGTGCTTCGTGTACGGAGGGTCAGCATGTGCGTGTGTGTATGGTGTGTGTGTGTGTGTTTGTGTGTGTGTGTGTGTGTTCGTGTGTGTGTGTGTGTGTGTGTTTGTGTGTGTTTGTGTGTGTGTGTGTGTTTGTGTGTGTGTGTGTTTGTGTGTGTGTTTGTGTGTTTTGGTGTGTGTGTGTGTTTGTGTGTGTGTGTTTGTGTGTGGGTGCGTGTGTTTTTTCGCGAGTCGCCCCTCCCCAACGCCTCTCCTTGGCTGGGCGCGGCCAATAAGCCCATTGAAGGCACGCCCTGGGAGAGTCAGGATTCAGATGTCGTGCGGAACGTGGCGCTATGAAACAAGATGGCGTTGACATCTTCAGGCGCTTTCGAACAAGTGAATCCGTACACCTGGCTCAAGAATGGTTCTCATGCGTAACGTACAGAGCCAGTTCGGCAAACCACTTCCGCCGGCACCTGCTACATCTTTGCGCAGGCGACCTCCTACATACTTACACACTCGACCTCCTCTCGACCGGTTCTTTTCGAGGTTATGGTATCCCTGAGGGTACCATGGACCGTTTGCTTGGGGGGGCTATTTCTTCACAGCATACCTGCCGCAATTTCCGTCAAGGCGGGATCCAGTGCTAATTCGACGAACACATGGGTGCAGTTGTTGGATAACTTTGAGTACTATGGCGTCTCCATGCCTGCATACGTTACGCCTATGGCTTTTGGCTCATTTTCACAGCTAAGAGTTGAGTACGTCAGTGGGAGTGGCATCTGGTGCGATATTTCAAGGTATGGTGGCACTGTGTGGCAACAGTGCTGCTGTGGCTACAGTGGGTCTTTCGAGTTCATGAAGAATGGAGGGTATATCTTGGAACAGTCCAATTGGCACGATCTACCGTCTGGGTGCTCAGTGTCAGGGAACACTATCACTTGCAGTGTCAGTTTTGACCTGTCGAGCGGCGATGCGGTTCTTGCCACTTGGTACGAGCCTTCACGCTCAACATCACTGAGCGACAATGGCGGCAGCATCGTGGTGGACGTGTTCGGGTATGGAACGGCCACGACAGCGTCATGGAGCAAAATATACCAGATCCAGGATGGTGACAGGGGGTTGTACTCCTTCCCCCTCACAACTGGGGCTTATGGAAGCATTTCCTCGTCGATTGGCTCAAGTAATGCGAAGTTGTCCGACTCTGACATTAACGCTATGGCTGTGTCACGGGACGGATATTCGCACGTTTACCAAATCAAGAGCTCAGACTGTTCTTCGTACTTGTACATTCGGTCGAACGACAATTATGTCGACACATCGGTATCGTTCGGGCTTACCCAGGAGAATACCCGTGTGTGTTTAGCCTCATCATACGAGTCTTGCTCGACCTGGGCCACTTTATCTTCCACAAGCCACGGCATAGACCTACTCTACACAAGCCCCAATCTCGGTGGAGAATCGTGTTGCCGTTATTCAATTGCCTGCGGCAAACTCCGGCACTGTGCCTGTGCAACAGCGCTGCAGGAAGGAGAATGAGTATAGGAACAATGCAATTCCGACGAGCGGTCTGATAATGACGGGTCGTAAACTCGACCTCGTCGTCTCCCGCGCGGTAGGGAAGGAGCTCGAGTTCACACCCCGCGGCAGGTTAGCGATTGTTCTGAATTGGGGACGGTTGTGATCCCAACATCGTCTTCGTCCGCGCGGTAAGGATGATGATGATGAGGAGGAGGAGGAGGAGGAGGGCGAGGAGCAGATAGCTTCTTGTGGGGCCCTCTTGGGGCCTCCTGGGTTTCCTCCTGGGGGGCCTTTGGGGGGCCCCTTGGGGGCCTCCTGGGGTCTCTTTGTCCGTTTCAGGGAAGCGATTGGCTCGTCGGACGCATGCGGAGGCCGTCTTGGGGGCCTCTCTGGGACGTCTTGGTGACCTCTTGTAGCGCTTTAGGGCCGTCTTGGGGCCCTCCTGGGAACTTTCGGGCGATCTTGGGGTCCTCTTCGGCCGACTCGGGGCTTTCTTTGGGGCTTCATGGGCTGTCTTGGAGCTATCTTGGAAGCCCCTTGGGCCGTCTTGGCCTGGGGAAGGAGGGGGCCCTGGAAAACATTAGCCTGGCGAAGGCCCCAACCATGTGCAGTCGTGAGTACCGTCGTTGTATTCACCGCAGTCGGATGAGCTCCCTATAGGGCCGAAACGTGTGAGGGCTGTGCCAAAATTAGTTTGGTGGGCGCATGCGAAAGCAGCCACTGGGGCCGTCGGTGGAATTCCCAATGGGGCCACGAAACGCGTGCGAGGTGTGCGGGAATAGGTGCGGTGGGCGCGTGCGCAGCCAATGTGGCCGTCGGTGGAGCTCCCTATGGTGCTGCGAGACGTGTGCTGGGTGCGCCGAGATGGGAACGGTGGGCGCATGCGACCGCAACCGCTGGCGCCTTCGGAGGAGCTCCCTGTGGGGCCACGAAACGTGTGAGGGGTGTGCTGAAATGGGCATGCATGGGTGACGCATGCGGGCGGTGCCACTGGGGCCTTCGGTGGAGCTCCCCATGGGGCCACGAAG